TAGCTTCAAAATTACGGCTTATTTTTTTGGTGTTACATTTCCATTTTTGGAGTTAGAGAAGGATCTACAAGGACAATAAAAAATTGTGGGACTAGGTGTCTTGCACTATAGTAAGAATAAAATTTTCGAATCGGTAGTATGTAAAAGCACGATAAATTTTTCGATGTGGTAGGACGCAAAAGCATGATAAATTTTTTGAATCAGTAGTACGCAAAAGCAATAAATTTTTTGATATAGTAATACGTCAAAGTATGACCCAATTTTCTTTTGAATCAGTAGTACCCAAAAGTATCGACTATTCGAGAAAGCTTCCTAGAGATCCAAAACATAGCAAACATTAGCAAACAATTGGTGGGACGCAAAGGTAGAATTATATATAGGAAAAGAAAGAAAAAATTTTGCTTTTGCGTCCCACCAAATAGATGGAATTCGGCACTTTGTGCCTCAAACCTGGCATTCGAATTCAAGATACAAAGCCAGATCACGAATACTATTTCGGCACTTTGTGCCTCATCCTCGAATTCGAATGCAACATATAAAGCCAAAATACGGATTGCCAATTCGGCATTTCATGCCTCATCCTAGCATTGAAGTCAATAGCATCACCAAAAGTCCATCGTTATGGACGTCAATAACGATCACTGAAAGTGTACATAAAAGTAAATTGACATTAGTGCATTCAGAAACAGGCTCTAAAGCATTTCCAGAAAAAAATTGTCCTTGGATAAAAACGGCACAGATCAAGTTCCTGATATGCACCTAAATCTAACCAAAATCTAACCAAAAAATTCTTTTTCTGCATATCAGAAACCATCTCTAAAGCATCTTCCTGAAGTGATACTTATAGGTGACCGTCCACACATGTGGACGATGGACACGAATGTTACATGGCGGAGTCTGAAAACGCAGAAATCAGACGCCTTCTTAAAATATATACTCCGCTCATCAACCCGCAATCAATACTGGACACATATTTTTCTCATCCAAATGACAGCACAAACTCGAAGACGCAGACAACCACGAAATAGTCTAATTTATTAATAATTACATCATTGTGCATTTGCAAACCAGTATGCTTTGCATCCAGTTTGGGCATAGCCCTCACAATCAGCACTTCATGCCTAGCCTTGGGTGATGAAAGCAATCAAAGGGCCAAAGAAACTCGAAAACCACATCGAAAGGAAGCAAATATCAAGCCAATTAGGCACCAAAACGGGTACCCAAAAATGAGTAGGTATCAGTCTAGTCATAAGTATGTAACAATCTAGTCATAAGTATGTAACAGTCTAACGCAAGTAGGTTGCAATATATATATATTGCAACCTACTTAAGGGATAAGTTTTTTGTTGTAATCTATATTTCCGCAGTTGAGAAAGTAATTCTGCATAAAATTTTTTTGGTTTTTGCATTATTTCCAATAGGTTGCCTGCAATTTTGGCAACATTTTGAAATTTGCCATATCTAATTCCAATTCCTTTGTAACCTGGATGCAAAAAATATGCTAATAAATATCCTTCATGATTGAATTCTTTCCATTGTAAATTAAATTTATTGGTACAGAATTTAAAACTAGGATTTGTGTTGATGGGAGTTCTTTTAACTGCTGCAGCTAACTTGACAAGGTGTAGATAGCAGTCAGCAAGATTTGTGTTTTCCGCTTGCAAAACTGTCACAGAATCAATCTCTCATTGGTTTGAAAGATTTTGAATATTACTAAAAAAATTACATCCCCTTAAAATTCTCTTAATTGGATTTGGAATTAGATCACTATTCTCTGTTAAAATTAAAATAAAGCATGATTCTAAATGTGCAACTGATGATAAAGTAACATAGGCTGATGTCCACCAAGTTTGACAATATTTTTTTAACCCTCCACCAACAATATTATTGTTATTAATATAATAATTAAGTATATTATTAGCTTGATATGATTTTTTAAAAAACTTAATTATTCTATCACATAATGAGAGATGATTTTTTGCAAAAGAATGTTGAAGAAAATCCTTAGGAATTAGATTCACACAATGAGCAATGTATTGAAGATTAAATATATGAGGGAATTCTTCTGAAACTATTTTTCTAGCTAGTTTAACATTTGATCCATTGTCAGTCAGTTACTACAGCTGCGAATTTTTGTGGGCCAATTTTTATCAAGATTTCTTTAATTTTTTCTGCAAGAAACTGGCCTGTGTGGCTACTATGAGAAAGATTTTCTACAGAAAATAAATATTGTTGTTGTCTGTTAATGTATATATTAAAAAACTCCAAATTGAGTTGCATTTAGGATCAGACCAACATCTAGTGCTAATGTTAAATTATTATTTGAATCAAAGATTTTATTTAATTGTGAATTAATTAATGAGATCATAAAAAATGGATTTTCAACAATATTCCATAACAGACAAAAGCCTGTAGTAACGATTTATCAATTGAATTTTTTCTTTGGTCGGTTAAAACAGTACTTTCATAAAAGTTTGACAAGAGTTTGGGCGTTTTGTTTTCTGTTCTTTTCATCCAAATAAAAACGAGAAATAGAATAATGACATCCAGGACATTCATTAGCTAAATGAGCCTTGAGTTTAAAAAGGTGTTCCACGATTCCGGGTTTTTGGACAATATTTGCAAGATGCTGTGTAATGTCCTTTTATTTTTTCCCTTCCTTTAATGAAATGTAACCATACAACAGACACAGGACGTCCTGTAACTAATTCTTGATCATTGTTTAATGAACTTTCGATCATATTATCTAAATTTAATCTTTGCAAATTCATATTATATGATGATGATTGAGAAGGAATTGATGAATTGGGTGAATTTGAATTTGACATCATGAATTTTATTAAATAAATAAAGATAGTCTCTAGTGAGCAAGTTGCTTATATAGAATTCAAAAATATCATAACAATAATTGTAAAAAAGTGTATCAAAAGTGCAGGAAGGCGAGTGAAGGCCTGCTATGATTACTTTGAAAATATTGTTGGTAATCCAGCATTTGGTGGTAGTGGCAATATAATAAAATTTGATATTAAAAGAATAACAAAAATTAAGAACTGAGATGTTGTATATTAATATTAATATACATTTTATTATTATACTTTTGTCTATAAAGACGGAATATCACATGATCATCTAGGCGCCTGGCAACAGGTAGACAAATGATGAGTATAGGGACATTCAGTATGGTATAACTCTTGCAAAACGTATGGTATGGTATTGTATAAATGTAATAAAATGGTTGTATACCAATGCTTAAATCTAACATACTTCCCTTCACACCACCAAAAAGGATTTAGAATAAAATTTTGTGTGACTTGGTATGGGCTATACCATACCATACCATACGTTCTGCAAGAGTTATACCATACTGAATCTCTCCCTACTGACAAATGATTTTTGAATATTGCAAAAATATACAAGATACAATTATGACAGTTCATGCACCCATGTTTAAACAACAATATTATGTTTCGTTGTCATTTTACTTTAATGAAATCTTTTTTCTTTTGCAATAGTGTATATCCAATCGGCTTCACTTCAGCATTTAATATAGCGATCTTATTTATCAAACAAATGAGGTCTGGTTTGATTAAGTTACGTACCATTTGGACTTTTATTAAGTCTCGACCTATAATTGGTAAACTTATCACTACAAAATATTGGTTTGGTAAATGGGATCCAGGAAATTCATCTTTGTTGTATTTTACCAATCTTTTAATGGGTATAATAAAAAAAATAATAACAACTTACAAATTACCAAATATTCTAACACATTTGTCAACTATTCAGCTTTTTTCCAAATTTAATGAAGAATGGTATGATGCATCAAGTAGGGTTGATGAGATTGGTTTTGGCAATATTATTTTTTTAAAATAGTATATGGATTACTAATAATGATTTTGATCCATTGAGTAAAGCTTTCCTGTAAGGAAATCACAATTATGCAACTTTCAAAAAATAATGCTTTAATAATAATAAACCATCAGACTGAAAATCAACTTTACGTGATAAAAAGAGGTGCAAATTAAATTGCTTATTGGATCACAAGAAATTACATTAGCTTCCACAAACAGACTTTATTAGATATTTTTCATAATTATGTTGCCTTTCCTCTGGGAGCAGAAGATAAGAAAATAATGGCTCGCTATTATCAATATTACTGTGCGAATTTTTTTCTATTGCAAGTTCCAAATGATGCTTCTTTCATGAAGTGATTATATTCTGTTTTAAAGGTTATGACACAGACGAACTCTGTTAGATATAGAATGCTAATCAATCAGGGGATAAAATAATGATAACTCTCGAACAAAGGATAAAGACATTCACATTGAAAGAAATAATGGAATCAGAAAGATGACAAAACGGACAAAATTAATAATATTCTTTTCTTTTAAATTTGTAAAGTAAATCGTATATATATCACATATTACTTACTACTTTGTTTTTTATATAATAACAAGTTTAGTCAATTAATTCATTCATCGCATACTTCAAGAAGCTCAAAAGTCTCGGGTAAAATATAACTTTTTAATAATAAATAAATACACTTGGAGAAATACTTTTTTTTTCAAATAAAATAATAATATTATTTAGTTCAATTATTTGACAAAGCAGCTTTAAAATACAAAGGCTTTGTTTTTTAAAATGTAGAATGAGCTTTGTGAGTTTTCACGTCCGACATTAATTTCTACATCATAAAACCAACAATGTTCACGAGTTTACTAATATATTTTAATGTAAAGTTTTTTTGCTGGATTTTTTATTTTTTATTTTTATTTCTTTTAAAATAGAACAAGAACGATTGTTTATTAAAAATTTTTTTTCTTTATTAATCTCTATTCAAAAAAAACCCCCATTAAACTGAAGCCGAAACAAGACGTTGTTAGATCGTGTGAAATAAAATTAATAAAATTGATCGGGTTTTGATTATTAATTTTTTTAGGGCCCGTCACTCAAAAAATAAAATAAGT